GTCCATAATTGCTGCTTTGTCTACTCTTAACCTTTGCTGATGGAAGGATGGCTTCTTACAATAGTATGCTTTCCTTTGAAGGAGATGGTCAAGAGAGCCAGGCTGAATACTGCAGCCTCCAGCTGCCTGCCTGTCTGTGGGCACTGGGGCTGGCTGCAGCTCCCCCCGCCGCCTGAGCAAGGGATTTGGGCCAGCATCTCTGCTGCTCTCTAGGAAGGATGCAGAGCTGTTTTGTTCCAGTGCTCAGCTTCCTGGAAGCACAGGAGACGGCCATGCTGCCGTAAGAGGCCTACACTGGCTAGCCGAGCCTGTGTGCCTCACCCTTTGTACTGTGGCCTGGGAAGACCAGCGTGTTACTGCCAGTGTCCCCTGGCAGGCAGTGCTTTGCGGGATAGACGCTGGGAGCGTGGTGTCTTCCTTTGCCAAACCTTGGTCCCTCTGCCCTTCAGGCTGGGAGCAGGGGCATCTCCTGCCATGCCTGCCTGGTATCCAGCACACACCAGGATGCTGAACTTGGTTCAACTCTCTTGGCACCTCCGTGGCACTTAGGAGGTCACAGTGACAACTGCATAAATTTCCTCATTACGGTGGCCCCCGTTCCTGTTTCTGGAAACCCTCAGGGCTTGACACGGGGAGCCAAAGTCAGGAGGATGAGCCTGACTGTGCAGCTCCGGGCTGTCTCCAATTTGCTGACTCCTGCCTGTTTCTGGAGCCCCGGGCCCCTGTCTCCAGAAACCCTTGCCAGCATTTGGCATGTGCCACCAGAGGGGGCTGCGAGCCACGGCAGCGGTCCCCCAAATCCTCCCCAGGCAGGGATCCCACGGATCGCAATCCAGTTGCAGCATGTGTTGGAAAGGGCTACAGAAAAACGCGCTGGCATGGTCTGATTACCGCTTGGGCTTTTTTTAAAAAAACAACATTCCTCTGGGGCAGATGTTATGACTCAGCTGAAAGGTCTTCTGCTTGCAGAGGGAGCGCAAGCCCATCCGCTGCAGTCTGGAGGGAGTGTGCCTCTGCCATATGTGTACAGCAATGTCCTGACACTCAACGGCAGCCTAATCCTCTGGCAGAGCCAGCCCAGTGCGGCCGGGAATGGCAAAGTCAGTAGCCAATCTCAGGAGGGAGTCCAAAGAGAAGCCCAGCAGTGGAGGGAGGCACAAATGGAAAAGGTGGCTGGTTATAAATGCAGTGATTCACTCAGAGCTGAGGTTTCTGACCTGGATTTTCCAAGCAAGCAGTGCAGACAGAACAGCAAAATGACAATTAGGAAGGAGCGGGCAGCTCAGCTATGTGACTGTATGAGCTGGGGGACAGCCACCCCTGTTGCACACCTATTGCAAAGGGTTCAGGTCGCTCCTGGGATCACAAATAAACCCTGGCATGCACAAGGCTGCCCAGCAGCTGCCATGCCATGCAGGGAGTGGAAACATTTCGCCACAGCAGCAGCAGCATGCTCTTTTCCACTGGATGCCACTTCCCTGTTCAGAGAGCAGATGCCAACGGTGTGGGGCTGCGGTGCCTGAGCAACAGCTGCACTCGCAGCACAGAGAGGAAGAAATGGTGAGCAGACAGGCTATTACAATTATTTCCGAATAGTTTGGCAGGTCTTTTATCTGAGCATCAAACTTCCCTTTTGGCTCTGCCATTACTGCTGTGGCCCCACGGCTGCAGGACAGTGCAAACAACGGCCCGAGTCCCATACTCCCTGTCACAACATGCCCACTCTCCCGCAACAGGGATCCCTGTTGTGCTGGTACACAAGAGCCACAACAGCTGGAGAAGGCCAATTTTCTTAACCTGAAGTGCCTTCCCAAAGTAAGGCGCTTCCTCAGGGGTGGGGGGAGAGAGAGAGGAAGGAAGCGGGGGGGTGTGGTGTGTGTGTGTGTGTGTGTGCGTGCAGTTACTTCTTAATGCAGTTAGACACAGCCAAAAAATAAAAACCCAGATGTGCCTCCAGAAAACCAATAGCAACAACCAGCACGAAGCCACCACCCCTGGCTGCCACCTCCGGGCGTCCATCCCTGGCTGATGCTCCTGCCCTCCAGGCAGGGAGGGCCGGCTGCTGAAGCTGCTGAAGCTGCTCTCCGCAGCCAGCTTTCGCTCCGGCATCCGGGCAGCACCAGGTACGCAGGCCCTTTCCGGCCAGCTGCCTGGCGAGGGGAAATCACTGACCTTTCCACAGAGGTCCCCAGGGTGCCAGGCACTGTACAAAACACAGGAGGAAACGCCTCCTGTCCCAAAGGGAAATCTAAAGCAGATACAAGGCAGGCAGAAAGGACACAGTGAAACTAAAAAGACTTTTGCAGATATTTTTGTAGGCCTTAGCATGGGTTTTAGGAATGTAAATGTTATGCTTTATGACGGAGAAACTTTAGCCTAATAAGGTAAAATGAAATGTCGAAGGAAGACGCGACAGAGGAAGGGGTTACAGTGTTTACCTCTGGCAGCTGGAAGCACAGACAGGCCCCACTCCCGCTCCAATAGCTGCCAGGTAGCAATACCAGAACGGGGAAACCTTGTCTGTCCAGAGACAGAGTGCCACAATGGGGTTCATCAGCCTGTCACCTTTGTGTGAATGTGCTCTATATTAATGATCAGATGTCAAAAGAAGAGCTCTGCCCTGAGACTATTTCTTTGATGCTGAACTCCTGTTCCTGTTAAGGTTCCCACCTGCAGCTGCAATGAGGCCTTTGCTTCTTCATAAAATACCCTCTGACATTTGGATGAGATTCATTACTAGATGGTCACCTATTAGTACTGCTTAATGCCCAAGAATTACATAGTGTTAATACTTGTCTCCTTCTGGTAGGTCACTTAAAAAAACTCCCTCCTATCAATTTCTTTCAGGCAGTGTTTATCATGCACTGTTTTCATTTGATTTGTCATGCTTTCTATCGAGCACTGTCCGTGAAGTTCTTTCAAACCCACTCCTTTGCAATGCTGGCTCTGGGGAGCAGGCACCCAAAGTCAGCTTGGCTCCCAGCTCATACCTGTGGCCAGCAGAAGCCCAAGTGCACTGGGGATGAACCCTTGTTCATCTTGTTGTCATGTTTCACTTGCACACAGGTGGCAGCTGAGGGGATAGAGGTGGAGGCGAACTTCACTTTCAGTAGAGGTCTAATGTTAATACCTGTTTCTAGAGAGCAATGTTACTGCAGGAGCTGAACTGAATCAGAGACCCTGACAAACCCTCCACCATTCATGTCCCACATGGGGGACCAAACCCCTCCAACCTTTCTGCTTCAACTAAAGGCTCCCTTGTGCACGTATATGCAGAAAGGGAAAAAGTAAGACCATGTAGCAGCCACTTGGAAGATCTGCCATGGTAAAGTAGAAAGCCGCAAAGGGACAACATCTCCAGTGCTCAGGGAGCCCCTCCAGCACACACCACCTGCAGCTCAGGACCAGACCCTGCTCTCTCACAGGCAGCAAAACATGTCAAAAGTTGTCCAAGGTGCTCAGAGCTAAAATTGACAGCTTCCTACATGAGGAGGAAAAGCCAGGTGCCTGGGGGGGTTTCCAGCTCTGTGACCAACATGGCTTTGCTTGCCTGAGACCTTGGAGGAGGAGAAGCTGGAGTCCCTCCTGCCCAGCTCAACCCCTGTCCCACACACAACATCGCCCTGCCTGATACATATCACATACTCTGCAGACTGCAAATATAGGTCTATAAAGCTTTTATTACTGTGAATTTGGGGCAACTGCATAAGCTATAAGAAGGCTATACAGTTCATCCTGTGCAAGCAATAATAAAATCTGATAGCAACCATCATTCTCATGCGTGCTACCACTGATGCCTTGTTGTGTTCATCCATGCCCACATTAAGCCTTTCTCTGCCTTCTCCCCTCTCTAAACACAGGCCTGATCCTGCTAAACGCCTTGCACACACAGTGACTTCAGGGAGAGTTCATGGTGCTCAAAGCCTTATTAGCCCAGGCTTTATCTGTAGGGGGTGATGAGATCCCCAATGACATCAATCAACACACCTTCATTAGAGTTAGAGGAGCTACACTGATTTATGGTAGCTGAGGATCCAGCTCTACACTTCATAACCTTCAGTACATCATCAAACCCATGCTGAATTCTTTGTTCTCCACAGGACTGATTCTACAGCCCCATAAATGCTTCCCGTGTCCCTCTGTCCTTTTTGCAAACAGAGTTCCCCTCTCCATATATAACCCTCTTTTAATCAACAAGACCAGCGTGTCTGGCAAGACTGCTGTGTCAGGCCCGTTTTAGAAGACCCTAAGCTCCTTCACAGCTCAGGCATCCCTGTAGCTGGCTGTGGATTCCAGATTAAACACACAGGTTTATATGTCTGCTGAGACCATGTTATTAACTCAGCCTTTTACAGTGCCCTTTGATGCCATTAATTATTCTTTACTAGTTGTTAATTGTTTTTCCCAGACATCTAGTTTCCGAGTCCCTTCTTAGAAGAAAAGAGGAAAAAAAGCAAACAAAACCAAACTCCCAGTTTACCAAATGCAGCAGAATAAGCACTGTGGAAAGTCAGATCCAGCCCAAACAGCTCAGACCCCCAAGCCCGGAGCCTCACATGGCTCGAGCCTGGGTCTCCAGCCCTAGGGCTCTCTATGCCATACCTCTGCCTAGTTACACGCCAGGAAATTGCTCTGCTCTCCCAGCACAGTTTAAAAAGACAGTGAGGCCACTTCAACATAGAAAAAAACAAGCTACCTTTTAACCAAAGTGAAACTCAGGTTGAAAGCCAGTTAACTCTTGCTTTCAGATGATATCAGGCTGAGTTAAGCACCACCAGTTCAATGCAGAGTAGGCTCATCCTATGTGTCCAAAGCAGCATCTTACAACCACCCAGTCGGTCGATGCACACTTGCCCCTAAAAGGCAACGAGATGCAGCACTATGGGGGCTCAGGACGATGCTTGTTTTCACACACAAGAGGAAGCATGAGGCCCATAACGCTAGGCAAAAGTGGGAAGAGGAGGTGACTATGTACTAGAGAGGAAGAGGAAGGCTCTTACTTGCAGTCGTGCTTTTCGATTTCAAAGTGAGGGTTGAAGTTGAGGATAATCTTCTGGTTGGATTCAGGGGCGTAGATGACCCACTCGCAGTTCTGGTGGGAGGGGTAGTCATTGGGGTACCCCGGGGAGGTGATGTACCCGGCATCCTTGGAGTTCAGGCGGCCCCCGCATGGCTGAGCTGCAGAGACACAGAAGGGAACAAGGCATTGGTACGGGTTCTGGGCATCAGCTGCACACAGCCGGTCCCTCTGGGCTACTGCTAGGGGTGGTCTGATAAAGGCCATTCTCCAGGCCATTGACATCCATTTGGTACTCTAATATTTCATGTTAATCTCTGGGCAAGGGCAATTATTCTACACAACAAACCTACTCCTATTCCCCTCCGCCTCCTGCCACACTTACATACCACATTTCACACAGACTAGAAAAGAGAAGTAAATGCTCTTGCCGAGGCAATTACAGAGCCATAAAGTAAGAGAGAGACCGATATCAGATCATCTGAAGCTGCCTTGTTTTATCCCTTCTTTTGCCTCCTTTGCAAGCTGCTCTGTGACAGTCTCCCACAGCTGTCCCAGGAGACACCAAAATTTGGACCTTACAAATCTGATACATCTGCAGGAGCACAGAAAGCTTTGCTGTTCCCAAGGAAGGAAACTGAGGCATGGCGGGGCTGATGGCAAGCCCAGGCCCACCTACGCAGCCAGTGGCAGAGCTGAAGACAGTGTCTGGCCCTCCTGGACCTGGCCTGCAGCCCCGTGACAGCCCTTCTCTGCTTGCTGTGCTCTCCCTCCCCAACTCTGTGTGTCCCCACGACCCCATCTTGGCAGACTGGCCTCCCGAAACCTTTCAAGCTAACCCAGCCATTGGAATTGCAGACGCGAATAATCAGCAGTGGTGGTTTTGTGGGGCTAGCCTGCAAATGACTGGCAACGGCTGCGTGGTGAGCAGAGGAAGCACTCTCAGCTTTGGGTTAGAACAGGCCCTAGAGGGTGATTTCATCTTCAAAAAAACATTTAATCTCATGAACGCTGCAAATCAAATTTATTATTGCATTACTTGCTGGGAGGAAAATCTGCATCACAGGGTCAATTGATAATGCACTACAAATCCCAACCAAGTCCCTTTCTCCACAGGTCCCCTACTGCGTGCCCCTCGCTGCACACCCTGCCCTGTCCCAGCGCCACGGCCCCACAAGCTGCCACAGCTGCACCCGGAAGACAGCATTGCCTCTTCACACCCAGCAAAATGGGCAAAAAACAGCAAAATGGGCGAAACCCAGCACAAGCCTAAGCCCCTCCACAGGGCAGGCTGGCAGGCATACGGGGTGACCCTGGTCCCACGTTGCACAAAGGCTTTCCCCTCCCTGACGATAAGCAGTGGGGTACAACGCGGGACACAAACCCTCGTGGGTTGTCCCCACTGCAAGGCTGTCCCCACAGCCTCCCCACAGACCCGGAGGGCTCCAGTCCCGCACCGGGTGTGCTTTCCCAGGGCCCATGTGTGTACGCCTTGCAATGGTGCCTGGGGCACATCCCATGCCCCCAAGGAAGCCGAGGCACAGGAGAAGCAAAGCAGTGCTCGTGTGGGCTCAACCCCACGCTGCGGGTCTCGCTCTGTCCCTCTGCCATGGGGTCCATGAGGCCCCAGGAGTGGCCCCTGCCAGGCTGTCACAAGTCTGCCTGCTCTCAGTGGGGACATCCCAGCCCGCCTTCAAACTGCCCTCTTCCTAGAGCTAACGTGAGCAGCAGGAGCGAGGCAGGACCCCTTGGTGGTAATGCTTCCTGGAAAAAAGCACTTTGAATAAACAACCTGCTGCCTGCACGCTGCCTGCAGAAAATGCACGTGCCCCGTGCCTGCAGAAAATGCACGTGCCCTGTGCGGGAACAAGGGCAGCAGGAGGGCCCTTCATGGGGAAGCGAGGCTTCCTTCACCATGAAAAAGCACTGTCTCAGTTTCCCCCATGTTTTTCATGCCCTCTAACACATTCATTCTTCAAAATAACTTTCTTCTCACACACCCAAAGGCAGCTCTGCAGCTTTCCCTTTTTTCTTAAAATAATCCTGTAAGTATCCTGAAAAATAAGAGGGGAAAAATCGCAACACTGCCATGGAAGAGCTGAGAGGACCAAAAAACATCTGGTTTAGTTCCACAGGAGAGCTTGCTCAACACACAAACATTTACAAACCTACGTTCTTGCACAAATCTCTTCTCTCAGCAAGGCATATTTGCCCACACACGTGTCTATGTGGGTTCAGGGGGAGAGAAAGAGAGACATTCACGTGGAAGGAAGAAATTCACGGACTTGTTGACATCAACGTACAAATAGATGTGTAATTCACACTTCACTCATGTACGCACTTTCACACCTTCTCATAAAAATTCACACCTCGTTTGCACACATGTCCACCCGCTCCAGCAAAGAGAAATATTCAAGCTGCAGATTATTTTTCTTGGAAAGGGCAAAGTCTCGAAGCAATGAAAATACAGTCAATCCTTCCACACCTCGTCATCCCCTCCCCGTCTCTCCAGCTTTCACACACATGCTACCCGCTAGGCTGATACCACCAACATCACCCACCACTCAGAAGCTGCTAGCCCCTTACTTGCACTGGATGCTATGAATACTCTGTGAGCCATTGCAACTCAACCACTTAGAGGGGAACTGCAATGTGAACAGGGGTGTCAGGCTCCAGCTTGCTCTAGCTCTTCCCTGACAAATGAACCCAGGAGCAGACACCCAGGCTTACCCTGATCTTAAAACTTCTCCCTTGCCCTGCGAGGCCATCGCAGGTCAGCAGGACTGAGCTAAGGAAATCCCTGGGCTTGATCCTAATTTCAGGTCAGCTTGGTGCCCAAGTTAAACTGCTGGTGAGGACTGCCTGAGTAAGAGGGGCTGGAGCCCAGCTCTCTGCGGCTGTGGTTTCTGCAGCAAAACGGACAAGCAGACAAAACCACTGAGTGGGCAGGAGCACCAGCCACATCCCTCAGGTGTTCAGATACCACCAGGAAAATTTCACCATCTTTCTGCAGCAGGGAAAGCCTTCCACCTGCAGGAAAGCTTATCTGCGTCTCTCAGAGGAACAGATTTTGTCCTCTCATTCATCCCTCCCCAAGAAGGTCCAGAGAAATGAAGGCAGCTACTTCAGTACAGTGCTGCCTTGTCCATGCACAGCACCAGGCCATGTGGTGGGCAATAGCATACCAGGGAAACCAGCGCTTCTTAGAGTTAACTGAAGAGGCAAAATGACTTTAATATCTTTGTAATTGTTCTGTCAGGATTTTTGTCTTTTGATTCACTGGTATCTAGCAGACAAACACCTGCAACAAAAAAAAAATCTATCACTGTGCCCACTGACAGGCAAAGGGTTTGCCTCAGCAGACATGCCAACCACTAGCTTTCCATATAAAATCAGGCCTGTTTTGTACACAGTAGAGGGTCAAGCTTCTACATAAGTATGTCCTTTCAAACTGATGCATTGAATCCATGCAAAAAGAAAAAAAAAAGAAAGAAAAAAGTGAGTGACATGGCTACTGCCTAGGCTGTATGCTTTGGAAGCAAGACGTGCTCCACAGCTAATGGGCTCTGGCAGCTTTTGCCAGCTCTGAATTCACTTAATAAAATTAAAATTAAATTCTGAAGTATAAGCCAAGTCTGCCAGGTGCGTGGGACACCCCATTGCTCAGTAAGCAAAACGCAGGCGTTGAAAGCAAACTGCTGGGGCCCCTGCCAGCCCACACGGTGGAGGGGCCAGTGGAGCGCTGTGGTGATGGCGAGACCATGGGAGAGCAGCTGGGCTCCTCAGTGGAGGCTACAGAGGTCAGCACTCCCTGGCAGTGTAGGAGCAGGCTGGCTTCAGGATGGGAAATCCTCAGATCCCATCCTTTGTTAAGACCCACCACATGACTTACATTATCCCAGCAATCCTCTCCTTGCAGGACCACCCCAACAGGTCCCCGACAGGGGAACTACACCAGAGGATGACAACCAAGCCATAGGAATGGGAAAGGGAGACCTGGAGAAGCTCGCGAGGGCAGACTCCTGCAAACGCCGCAGCATACGGCAGGCAACTCCAAAGTTTCCCACGGAGATGGGTATCAGCAGCTGAGCTCCTCACCCTTTGCGAGGGGCAGACTCCTCTTTCCCTGCCCTGACCTGCTGGAGACATCCAGGCTGATGAAGTCTGCCCCTGCTTCCCCCAGGCTGCAATGAGCAATCATCACTCAGGGGACCCAAAAATAACAGCCAGGGCCCGGGAACCTCCACCCACACTTGGGGTTTTTCAGCTCTGCAGCTCATCAGTGCATGCTGAAACCTTAGGCCGGGAGCAGAGCGTTCTCCTACTTGAATTTCCTGCTGATTAAACCCCTCTGGATTTCCCTCACCCCAGGAGAGCAGGGCTCACTGTTATTGTTGGACCTTCAACACAGAAACTAAAGCCAACTCTGCCTGTAACAAAAATAATCATCACCAGAGAGGCCCATTTCACAACAAACACATATACTACAGCCTCTCAGAGCTTGTAGCGTCCAGCAGAAAACTATCATGTGTTTTGATCTGCTGGGTTCAGTTTACTTTGGGGATGTAATTCAGGGCTGCGCACAAAATTTAAGGCATTCTTGTTGCCTTAGAGGCAAGCGGCAGCATCACTGTCTGTGCTGCTCGGAAAGAGCAGCCTTTGAGTGCAGCAAAGGAGCAAGGGAGAGAGATCCTGGGAGTTCCACAGCGGAGGGATGCACTGCCCAGCCTCGTCGCTTATTTCTCTTCCTCGCCTGAGGCCCTCACAGCCCAGCTCCACACTCTCATCCAACCACTGCTGAAGATTTCTATGTCCCGGGATTCAGTGCTGGGCAGAGGAGATTTGCCCTGCCAACCCTCTGACAGCGCAGCAAAATATGGGTCCTGGCACACATGACCTACTGCTCTCAGAGCTGCTGAACTCGGTGTGAGCCCTTGTGCAGCAAACCCTGAGTTTCAGTCGCATTAAAGTCAAACAGCTCTTCAAGAAGCCAAGTTTTTCAAGGTCCACGTGCATCCAAGCACTTTGCCAAACTCTGGCATGGAGGGGACAAACAGATCTCTTCTGCCAAGGATTCATTACCGTTAACGTTCATCCTGCCTCAGTCCCCAGGCTCTGGCCCTGAGCAAGAGTCTGTGCAGGGCTAACGTGGCAGGGGGGT